ATATTCAGAAGCCAGTGTGGAGCAGGTCGCGCCTAGGCACAAGCAGTACGCATCACACCGTGGGCACGCAATCTCCGCTTTTGGGCCGGGAAGCCCCTGGACAGACGTGACAGCGCGTCCTTCCCAGCTTGAGTGGGGGGATGAGGAGCTGGAGGAGGGTGATGAGGAGGAAGAGGAGGAGGACGAGGAGGAGGGGCAGGAAGAGGCGGCGCGAGGACCAGCAGCAAGAAGCAGCAGCAAACGAGCAGCACGATGATCATGTTGCTGGTGGTGATGGCGATGATGCTGCTGATGCTGATGATGATGATGCTGCTGATGGTGATGATGGCGATGCTGATTTTGATGATGATGGTGGTGATGATGATGCTGATGCTGATGCTGACGTTGATGCAGAGGATGATAATGATGATGCTGCTGATGGTGATGATGACAATGTTGCTGATAATGATGATTGTGGCGGTGGTGGTGATGATGATGCTGTCGATAATGATGGTGATGACGATGATGGTCATGATGATGCTGCTGATGATGATGGTGGTGTTTGTGGTCGTCATGGTGATGGTGTTGCTGAGGATGATGATGCTGGTGGTGATGATGATGATGGTAGCTGTGACGGTGACCATGATGGTACTGATGAGCATGATGATGACGTTGATGCTGCTGATGACGATGATGATGATGTCGGTGGTGGTAGTTGCGATCCTGATGGTGATGATGATGCTGATGCTGCTGCTGTTAATGGTGATGACGATGATGATGGTGACGATGATGATGCTTGTGGTTGTGGTGATGATGATGATGGTGATGCGCATGAGGATGATGCTGATGGTGATATGGTGATGATGTGGTGATGGTGATGATGACGACGGCGAGGCGGAGGAGAAGGAGGAGGAGAAGGAAAAGGAGGAGGAGGATGTCATGCCATAGCAGATGAGGAGAAGGAGGAGGAGGAGGAGGAGGAGGAGGAGGAAGGGGGAGAAGGAAGAGGAGGATGCTGGTCATTCGGTTGGTGGTGGTGGTAGTGATGGTGGTGGTTTCGACGACGACGATGATGACGACGATGATGATGCTGATGACGTTGCTGTTGATGATTATGCCGGTGGTAGTGACAATCATGATGATGAGGCTGGTGGTTCTTGTTGGTGTTGTGGTTGTTTGCTTTGTTGTTGTTGCCGTTGCTGTTGCTGTTGCTGTTGTTGTTGTTGTTGTTGTTGTTGTTGTTGTTGTTGTTGTTTTTGTTGTTGTTGTTGTTGTTGTTGTTGTTGTTGTTGTTGTTGTTGTTGTTGTTGTTGTTGTTGTTGTTATTGTTCTTATGATGGCGATGTTGACGATGCTGATGATGCTGATGATGCTTCTGATGGTGATGATGACGTCAATAGTTGTGGCTTTGATGATGATGGTGGTGCTGATGATGATACTGATGATGCTGCTGGCGGTGGTTTTGCTGATGCTGATGGTGGTTGCGGTGGTGGCGGTGATGAGAGGGGGTGTTGATGTTGATGATGATGCTGATGCCGAGCAGGTGGAGGGTGATGCGATGGAGGCAGAGACGGAGGAGGATGCGACATATCAGATGAGCAGGCGGAGGAGGAGGAAGAGGACGAGGGAGGTTGATGGTGAGGAGTAGGCGGACGATGAGGATGAGGAGGACGATAAGGACGATGGGGACGAGGATGAGGATGTGGATGAAGATGATGACGATTGTCACGATGGTGGCGGTGATGGTGGTGGTAACCATGATGTAGATGATGTATACGATGCCGTTGCCGCTGACGATTCTGATGATGGTGATGGGGACAGGGATGGTGGTGGTGATGATGATGCTGAACATGGTGATGCTGCTGATGATGCTGATGCTGATAATGGTGCTGGGTATGTCGACGCTGCTGATGTCGATGACGATGTTGATGCCGATGCCGCTGCCGATGATGCTCATGATGGTGATGGTGCTGCTGCTGATGATGATCATGCTGATGACGATGCTGTTGTCGATGACGATGATGACGACGACGTCGATGAGAACGATGACGACGACAGCGATGACGATGTCGACGACAATGATGGTGATGCCAATGATGGTGGTGCTGGTGATGATGATGCTGCTGATGATGCTTGTGATGTTGTTGATGCTGCTGCTGAAGATGCTGCTGCTGCTGATGAAGATGATAATGCTGATGACGATGCTGCTGCTGCTGCTGATGATCATGCTGGTGCTGCTGCTGATGCTGATGATGATGCTGATGTTGCTGCTGCTGCTGATGATGATGATGATGATGATGCGGATGATGATGAGAATGCGGATGATGGTGATGATAATGCTCGTGATGGTGATGGTGATGATGATGAAGAGGAGGAGGCCGATGCTGATAAATAGGGTGAGACGGATGGGGAGGAGGCGGACGATGATGATGGTGATGATGATGATGAGGAGGATGCTGATTCTGATGCTGTTGCTGATGTTGATGCTGCTGCCGATGATGATGCTGCTGATGACGATAAT